GTGGCTGGGGGCTGTGGCCAGCCTGCAAATAGCCATCAGCCCCTCACCCAGAATGGCCACACCCTCATGGGGTGAGGGTCCCTACTGGAGGGCTTGGTCAGCCTGAAAACAGCCATCAGCCCCTCACCCAGACTGGCCAGGGACCCCAGCAGTAACCTCCACCCTGAAGGGCGTGTGGCCAGCCTGCAAACAGCCATCAGTCCCTCACATGGGCTGGCAAGGCACCCCAGCAGGGACCCCCACCCTGAAGGGGCTGTGGCCAGCCTGCAAACAGCCATCAGCCTCTCACTCAGAATGGCTAGGCACCCCAGCAGGAAACGCCCCCCCCCTGAAGAGGGTGTGGCCATCCTGAAAACCGCCCTCAGCCCTTCACCCAGGCTGGCCAGGCACCCCAGCAGGACCCTCCTTCCTGAAGAGGATATGGCCAGTCTGAAAACGGCCTTCAGCCCCTCACCCAGGCAGGCCAGGCACCCCAGTGGGACCCCACCCTGATCCGGACACTCTTCAGGCAAACCAGCTGGCCCCCACCCATGCACCAGGCCTCTATCCTATATAATAAAAGGGTAATATGCAAATTGACCCTAACAGCAAAGTGACTGGGAATCACTGGTCACTATGACACACACTGACCACCAGGGGCAGATGCTCAATGCAGGAGCTGCCCCCTGGTGGTCAGTGTGCTCCCACAGGGGGAGCTCTGCTCAGCCACAAGCCAGGCTGATGACTGCCAGTGCAGCAGTGGTGGTGGGAGCCTCTCCCGCCTCCTCAGCAGCGCTAAGGATGTCCAACTGCAGCTAGGCCTGCTCCCCGCTGGCAAGTGGACATCCCCCGAGGGCTCCCAGGCTGCCAGAGGGATGTTTGACTGCCAGCTTAGGCCCAATCCCCTGGGGAGCAGACCTAAGCCAGCAGGTGGTCATTCTCCGAGGGTTCCCCGACTGCGAGAGGGCTCAGGCCGGGCTGAGGGATCCTCCCGAGTGCACAAATTTTTGTGCACCAGGCCTCTAGTCTATATAATAACAGCCTAAGTGACCGTTATGGTGGAACAACCAGAATGACCAGTCCCTATGATGCGCACTGACCACCAGGGGGCAGACGCTCAATGCAGAAGCTGCCCCCTGGTGGTCAGTGTGCTCCCATTGGGCGAGCGCCTCTCAGCCAGAAGCTGAGCTCATGGCTGGCTAGCACAGCAGCAGTGGCGTTAGCCTCTCCCGCCTCCACAACAGCACTAAGGAGCAGCAAGCCAAGCAGTAAGGAGCAGTGAACAGGAGGGCGGTAAGGACTGAGGGTTCCAGGACTGCGAAAGGGTGTAGGTGGGGCTGAGGGACACCCCCCACCCAGTGCATGAATTTCATGCACTGGGCCTCTAGGATTCAATTAAAAATCAAGTGTATCCTTATATCTTAGTATATGTAGTTTTTCTCCTATTTTAAGGATTTTAAAATGCCACTTTTTCATTTAAAAATACCAACAGATCACCTTAAATGCTTGCTCACTTTTTAAAATGCTTGCTCAGTTTGAGAAAAATCATTGTTCTCTCAGTATTCCAAGTTATTTTAGAACCATCAGATGGGAAATCATCTTCCAGTAGTTCACATTTTATAAGCTCCTGGATTGATGTCATGTGTGGTGATCATGTTGCCTGCTGCAAAGTTTGTTAGTAAAAGAAATTTAGCTTAACTAGTGGTTTTATAGTTTTATTATAAAGAAATAAAAGGAAGGCTAGAAGAGAAGAGATGGAAAGAGAAGGAGAGAAGGGGGTAAAGAATAAAGGAAAAAAAGATGGGAGAGTAAAGAAAGAGAAATTGACAAGCAGAGCTTTAGGAGGCAAAGCTTGAGTTGTCAAGCAACAGAGAGACTATGTTGATAAACGATACATGAGGCAGGATGCACAGAAAGTTCCTGAATTCTTTAGAGACATACAAAAGTAGAGTTTTCAATGAAAATCTGGCCTTTCAGAATATTATAAAGGAAAGTTTTAAAAACCTGTTTCTCAAGCATAGCTAATGAGGGATAGACTCTAGATCAGGTAAAACTCATGACCAAATTGGAGTATAGTACAGTGATCAAACTGATATGCGTCTCAGGTAGTTTTCTATTTTTCTCACATTAAATTTTAAAACATTAATTTTTATTTTAATGCCAATATTTAATCCTTTGCAAAATCCTAAATTTCTTCAGATTAGTTATTCACTTCAATTTCTTAGAGAGGCCCAGAAATATATCAAAGTGGTCTATATGAGAAGATATCTTGGGCATACCTTATAAACATTTTATTTATTTTTTTAAGTCTATGAATGGTATATGGTTATAATTTAAGGATACACTTACAAATACTGATGATGAATTCTCAGAATTTATTTTACTGATATAAGTTTGTGATATTGGGAAAAATCCCTGCTGTAATAGAAAGTTCATGACTTTTGGTGCAAGTCACACAATTCTGGGTTCAAAGTCTAGTAATGACACTTATTTGTTTAATAGTTGTAGGTGAATCACTGAGACTGTGTAGAACCATTTTTAGATTTTCTTTTTTTTTTTTTTACATGTAGATCTAATAATTCTCTTCATTATTAAGAGGATTTAGATGCACATATAGTTTGACATAGTGATAGTTATTATTATTATTACTAGAGGCCCAGTACAGGGATTCGTGCACCAGTGGGTCCCTCGGCCTGGCCTGCACCCTCTCGCAATCTGGGACCCCTCGGGGGATGTTAGATAGCTGGTTTCAGCCTGATTCCTGCAGGCCCGATTTAGACAGGAAGGAGTCCCATCCCCACAGGCCTGATCCCTATAGGCCCAATCCAGAGAGGAGGGAGCCTAATCCCCACAGGGTATGGAGCCCGATCCTGTGCATTGAGTATCTGTCCCCTGGTGGTCAGTGCGCATCATAGTGACTGGTTGATTGGTTGTTTGGTAGTTCGGTCACTTAGGCTTTTATATATAGAAAAGATCATTTGGTTCTCCACAATCTTGTGATTTAGTAACTAAAAGCACATGTGTTCTCTTTATTTCCATACTTAGTTGGGGTATTTTTTGGTTATTTTCTGTGAAATCTTGCATATCATATGATTTTGAAGATATTCCATTTTCTTGTCTATGTAAAAAAACTGTTTTAGCTATGCATGTATTTTAAACTTCACAAAAATAAGTCATTATCTTTATTTAGTAATGATATTTTTTCATGAGGGAATGGGGATCTTAGTACAGAATACTATGAATAGGCAGACTATTTCTCAAACTACCTAAAACAGTGTTTTTAAACTGTTTTGACTGAGACCCATAGGGAGAAATATATTTTGCATTGCAATCCAGCACACACACTAAAACATACTCACTTATATATAAGTGAAACGAGGAACTGTGCAATGTACTATGGTATTTTATTTTAAAATCCCCTCTCAATTGATTTCATGACTCACTTAAACACCATGGCTTACAATTTGAAAAATACTGTTCTAAAGGACACAGAACAGAATATCATTCAGTATTGGTCATTACATGTAATGTAGAGATGATTTATAAATGTGTTTTGGCTGAACCAATATTTCAACCTTGATATAAATGTTTTAGAATTATTTCAAAAGCACACAATCTCAAGAGTTTGAAATTGTTCCATCAAAAGCAAATGTAATAAGAAAATGGTTTATTTTCTTTATGGTTTTTAAACATTTATTGATGCAACACAAAAATGCTTTTTTGTTTCTCTTTTGACAGATTGGCTATTTGATCTCCTTAAGACTTTTTATATATTTCCTGTATGGTCACCTAGAAAGTTTTAAAGAACACTTACTTAGACTTCAACCATTTTTATACGGTAGACTATCTCTTATTTTCTACACTTATGAATGTTTTATGTTATATTTTGTGAAGCTCAGACTATAAAGAGCATAAGCTGTGTATTTCATGAAAGATGATGGGTACAGTTTCTGGACCAGGTTGCATGTGTTTTTACTTTTAACTTTTCTACTTAGCTACTTCTACCACCTTGTCTGACTCATTTTCCTTATATGTAATAGTCGCTACTTCTCTAGATTGTAAGGAAGTAAAAATATTTCAGTAAGGTAACTCTAGTGATGATGGGGGTGCTGGATTGGAGTAAGGACTGAGCGGATGCGGAGGTCAATTAGCTATGATATCAGTACAGGCAAGAGATGTTAAATACAATTAAAATGAGAATAGGATTCAGTAAAGTAGTCTTAAAAAAGACACTGGACTTAAGTGATGTGTTGGATCTAGGCAATATATAAGAGAAAGCAAGGAATTCAAGAGGAACCCTAAGTTTTACATGTTGATTAATAGGCTCGAGATAATGATGTTTTAAACTGAGAAAATTTTGTAGAAACATTGGACATGTTGAATTTGAAGGTCACTTACGTATATATATCAAGCTAGCAGTTAGAAACACAGGATTGGAACTAGAGCAACACATGAAGCCTAGATTCCCTTATTTCATGGATATTAACATGGATGAATTGACCGTCTTCCATGTTAATGTGGCTGAGACAACCTGAGGGTGGGAGATGGTGGTGGGTATAAATTAATTATAGAAATAAAGTCTTGGTATCATAACCATCTAATAGATCATTGGAATAACAGACATCAGTAACAATAAACTGAGGGAAATAGGAAGAGAGAAATGACATAGAAATCCAAAGAGATTTGAATTTAAGATTTTGGTTTAAGATCAACATTATTAAGAGTTGTAGAAGTATTAAGTAGCTGGAGGATTGAAAGTGATGATGGGTTTCTACAACCAGAAAGCCACTGTTGATCTTGGGAGCTTCCTGAGTGGAGACGTGAAAGCAACATTCAGACTGACTGTAAACAACGAGTGAAGGGAAAATTTAAGTATAAGACAGAGATGGTGAGCTATTTAAAAAAGCTTAGCTATGAAAGAAAGGAGAAATGTGTCAGTAATTCAGATGAAAAAAAGACAGGGTCAAAAGAAGATTAGTATATCCTATCTAATAAAAGACAAAAAGGGTAATTAACCTTACCTCCGCTACGCTTCCCATTGGGTAATCAGGGCAATATGCAAATTAACTGCCAAATAAGATGGCAGCTGGCAGCCACGCAACTGAAGCGAGCAGGAGGCTTGCTTGCTCCAGTGATGGAGGAAACCAAGGTTTCCTGCCTGCCGTGGCCCGGCTCTGAGCTCTGGAAGCAACAATGTTTCAATTATAGAAGGTAAACAAACCCCAGATACCTGCTTTCAGCTGGCCGCGGACTCAGACCC